GTGCGTGGCGTTCGTTAACTGGTAGCTGTTTCTGCTCCTCTTCCTTCCAGGGCCCGCGTGTTTCATAATGCCCATCTGGCAGGCGACTGCACGCAGTACGGTGAAAATGTCGCAAGACATCCTCATCTTCCTCTTTCTCTGGAAGTCTCATCTTCCTCTTTTCTCTGGAAGTTATAGCAAACACACGTATGCTATAACTTCTTTCTTTTTTGACCGATATTGATGAAACTTCAGGGAACCCTTCTTCATGAACTGGGCCTTCATATATTCCGGTACTTTTGGATATTTCAAAAAATCATAGGCGGATTCAGGGAAGCTAACTTGGGATGATGTTTTGAGTTTTTGTCTTGGCATATCATGTGTCTTATGACATAATGTGTCATATATCATGTAAAATATGGAACGTGAGCACAAAACACACGTTTTCGTTACGCATAGGCGGATTCAGGCACGCTAAGACAGGGGGCAGTAGATTGATATTACCCCCCTTTTCTCAGGTACCTGGATCCGCCTATTCCAATATTTTCATTGTAAAATGACGTCATATAGTCTTTAGGCGCATACATATGACGGGTGGTGCCACTGGTCACCAGTAGGTATAAACCTGAGTAAGTCGCTGCTTAGCGGCAAATGTCGAAACAGTGAAATCTGGGCCAAAACTACCCCCGAGAAATACATCCTAGAAGTGGAGACACCTCTGCGCAAGCTAGAAACTCCCCTACCTTAAGTCATATTCCGTCGAGAGCAAGAAAACTACAGGTGGGGGCCGAATCGCCCCCCCCCCCACTAATAATAGGGTTAAAGGGACCCTCCCACCTTCAAAAAAAGTTAATGAATTGGCATGAAATTGATGTCACTCGGTTCACAAAGAGCAAAAACGAATATCTACCAAATTTCACCGAAAAATATTCACCAGTTTTCAAGATATGAGACTTTTACTTTTGTTTACTTTTTTGAGATCTCCGCTGTTCCTAGCGACTTCATTTTGGAAGTGCGGCGTTTGCGGCAGATGTTGCGCGCAAATAGCATATACCACCACTGCTTCACAAAGATGTAAGCATAAGGTTTTAAAATCGTTAGATCACCGCTGACGTCACAAATTCTAAGGGGGTATTCCATTGCATTAGCCCCTTAGAATCCGAAAACTGCAAGTTTGAAATTCTATATCTCCGAATTAAAGCATTTTTCGATGTTGTGAGTGTCCAAACCGGTATTTGCAGGCCATGGCCACCAATTTGGCTATCTCAACTCAAAACTAATGTTAAGGTGGGATGGTCACTTTAAAACTGAGCTCTTGAGAACGTTGCCGTAATGCCATATATTGCATCAAAATCGGCCGACATGACGTCACTCTGACGTCATTTCCGGCCAAACTATGGTAGCTATAAAGTTGAAATTTAAACACAAGGTGTCAAATTGATGACGCTGAGAGTACCGCAAGTTTCGTGCTGATCCGTCAAAGGGTTTAGAAGATATTGCCGAAAAACGGGAGGGGGTTCTATAAGTGATGCGCGGGTTAACTCGGGACTGGCGTGGCAACTTGGCTGGTGCGCTCAGGGTCACCATGCTGGGACGGCCGAGTTGTCATGGTCAATTATCCCACAAATGACGTAATCAGAGGTGCAAAAAGTGACATACTTGCATATCAGGATATGTGACAGAAGAGAGCAGTCTGTAGTGGTTCAGAGAGAAAAAACTCCCAAATTGCATTACCTTCTGCTTGTCTATCAGGTGCTGGTCTTCAAATTCTGCAGCTCTTAAACTGTCACACGCACATACGCTTTTGAAATGCTTGCCGTTTATTGGCTACCCAGAAACGCTAGCATCTTATGCTGCTGACAGAACACATTGGTACTGTCTTATCTGCGCTATTATTTGTATTCTGAGCTGGAGTACGCAAAAACTCGCATATTTCTCGTGTCACACCATGTTAAAGCAACAAATGGGTATGGATACCGTGGTACGTGTGACAGAGCAAAATACGTCGTGTTCTTTGGCCTCGTGTGCCACCGCTTTGTTGTGTTTCGACTGGTGTTAGTGGCGATTCAGATTATTGTGGAAGGGTGGTTGAGATTATATATCTAAGGAGTGTTTGTAACATTGTATTCAAAGTGAAGGCGCTCACTGGAACAACTGGGATGAGAGGCTGTATCGATCCATCGCGATAGAAAGCTGTGCGTGGCATGCAGGGTTGGAGCATCTGGATCCAACGCAGCCTGGTAGGTACAGTCACCAGCACTTGCTACTAATCACCTCGTTTTTGTTCAGTAGTTTGAAGACCGATCAATTCTCAGTCGAGCAAGATACGTCAAACGATCCGTTTGGTCCTCCGATTTTCGAGTATCTAAGTTGTTTTTGTATTTTCGAAGCACTTTGGGATGGGGAGCCAAAAAACCTCTTTTCTGCCCTTAAGTGTGCCCCAAGAAGTCGTAGAACCTAGCCCCGCCTCTGATCCACAGACCACTAGTGCCATCTCTTCTCAGCCGAACAAACCGCAGAAGTAAATAATGTCATGTGACCTTTGCACACGCTACAATTACTACGCAGCTGTAGTGGGGGAAGCGGGGCGGAGGCGTGGAGAGGGACGCGATCGGTCGGCTGGGGTCAGGTCGCCGAGGTCAGAGGTCACCCGCCGGAGGGTGTTTGAGCGGTTGGGCCGTGTGGGCTGGGGCCTGCGGAGCGGGGAGCGCCAGGACCTGTCTGGAAACAAGTCCTACAACGCTGTGGCAGTCGAGAGTATTGTGAGGAAAGAGAGAGAGAGAGAGAGAGAGAGAGAGGGAGAGAGAAAGAGAGAGAAAGAGAGAGAGAAAGAGAGACAGACAAAGAGAGAGAGAGAGAGGGAGAGAGAGAGGAGAGACAGAGAGGGAGAGAGAGAAGAGAGAGAAAGAGTAAGAGAGAGACAGGGAGAGACAGGGAGGAAGAGTCAGACAGGGAGGAGGGAGAGAGAGAGAGAGAGAGAGAGAGAGAGAGAGAGAGAGAGAGAGAGAGAGAGAGAGAGAGAGAGAGAGAGAGAGAGAGAGAGAGAGAGAGAGAGAGAGAGAGAGAGAGAGAGAGAGAGAGAGAGAGAGAGAGAGAGAGAGAGAGAGAGAGAGAGAGAGAGAGAGAGAGAGAGAGAGAGAGAGAGAGAGAGAGAGAGAGAGAGAGAGAGAGAGAGAGAGAGAGTGGAGGGGAGGGATAAGGACGAGAGGAGAGAAAAGAGAGACAGAAAAGGAAAACCAGAGAGGGTAAAATGAGAAAGAGGGTAATGGGCAAAACAGTGAGATGGAGCGAGAGAGGAAATATTTAGTTGTCAGCTTGTTTCGCGTGTAAAATGTAAATTTGCTTTCCATGATTTCAGCTTCGGATTGGAACTTCAATCTTAGCATCCTTATGATAAACCCAGATAAACCCACGCTGACGGGATGGGGACGTATTTATGGTCGTCGTCGGGAGCTCGGCACTAATGGGGATGATGTTGAGGGTTTCGCAAATATTTCATCAAAAAGATGCTATTTTTTGCATAACCTATTAAACATTTTTTTTTAACGTTTGCTATGAAAATGTTAGGCCTATTCCTTCAAGATGAGGTCCACGACTCAACAACTTACAACGGGCCACAGGGACTAGCTAACATAACAATTAACCCGCGCCGTGTTGGTGGCATGAGCTTTCCGTCGAGTGCTGGGGGGGGGGGGGGGGCGTTTCACGCCCCTCCGCCTAACTCGGCTCCGGGGCCACGTAGCGACACGCGGTAAGCGGCAATCCAAAGAGCGTCAAAAATAAGGAGGAAAACACTCGGTCATTTTAAGGTCAGGACAAAGGTCAGGTCACCCGAGTTCATTAAAGGTCAAATTTTGTCGATTTCAACGATTTTCAACTCCCGACGGCTATCTCGGGAACCAATAGAGCTACAGCGCCGCGGAAAAGCGCATTCGATAGCTCTTTTAACCCTCACATGTGTAGGGGGGGTCGGATGGACCCCCCCATAGTTTTTCGCGAATAACTCGCGTAAAAAGCGGCCGATCGCAACGAAACTTTCAGTACCCTCACATTGATCAATTTTACACCTACCCTGAAAATTTCATGACCCTGACCCAAATGACCTTTGACCTGTGACCTCTTTTCCGAGACCATGTTTGGCCGGAATCGCGATTCTGCGACGGCGTATGTCGGCTCGCATTAGCCGCGCGTTTGCAAGCTTTTCGTGGTTTCAAACGTTCAAACATGTGATTTGATGTTGCTTCCATGCATTAGGGTGGGTGTCAAGGTCACCTGAAGGTCAGGTCAGGTCATTGACCTTTGGTGACCTCGGGTGACCTCGGTTCACTTTTTCGAGCTGTACATGTTTCTAGGCAAGTTTTTGGAGCTGAATTCGAATTTAGCAACCATTTGAACATTTACGAAGTAGTTTTGGTGCCTTCGTAACATGTTACGAAGCTGTCAGAGGCTGTTGACACGTACTACGAATACCCGTCACGACGCCTACTGGTTGACCTGACCTGACCTGACCCGACCTGGTGTAAATGCTTAAGGACATCATCTGTGATCAAAACTAACACGATATTCGTGATCAGCACCCCGAAAAACCCCTTAGCAGCCACACTTTACGACTTTCTAACAGGTCCCGATTTTCCCGACTTTGGGTCATTGACCTGACCTGGAAGGTCAACCAATGACCTAGGACCTTAAAATTGTGTATCATCGGCTTCCTCTCGTCACGGGCAACACGCTCGTTTTTTCCGCGAAGCTCTAGCTCGATCAGGGGCCAAACGGCAAGGGGGGGTCCAACCGACCCCCCCCCCCCCCCTACACATTAGAAGCTGGCAAACACCGCACACATGCGAGGGTTAACCCGCGCCGTGCTGGGGGGGGGGACGGGAGGGGGAGGGGGCGGCAACTCAAAATAGGGGCGACCTGGCAATCCGGGGGCGCTTCATACGAAGTGGCGTCAAACCGTCGTCAAAATCGAGAGTCGTGAAACCCGCGCCGTGCTGGGGTACGTTGACATGCTCCCCCCTCAGTTTTTTTTTTGCAAAAACTCCTGGATCCGCCCCTGACTCTGGGAGCTGGATATCGGTAGTGGTCGTGCTGCTTACCGCGCCGGCCGCGGGCCGGCGCTGGCCGACGATGACGTCACCAGAATGGTGGCCGGTGTGGTGACGGCCGCCGCCGCTGACGCCGGCGCCGGAGCCGACGCTGCCAGACTCAGCGGGTGCAGCTTGCCGTCGGCGGTCTGAACGGCCAGCGACGAGACCAGGTACTGAACGGACGAGCTCCCGGCCGCCTGCCGACACCGCCACCCGAGACACGTCACTCACACAGGCCCGTCACCGTCACCCGACACGTCACTCACACAGGCCCGGCACCGTGCGGCCACTCAGTGGCCACGGCCGTGTCCTGCTGCTGCTCATTTCCACCCTACTCGACTGGCAGTGATCGGCGGGTGTCTAGCCAGGGTTCCGGACAAAAAGTCAAATGATAAAAGGTAAAAGGATGATTAGTCAACAGACATTACGTCAAAAGCAAGAAGTCAAAAATCTTAAAAGTCAACAGGTAAAAGGTCAACAAAGAGGAAAGTCAAAAGTCAAAAAGTCAAAAAGGATAAAACGTCAAAAGATAAAAAGTGAACTTGCCAAAAAGTCAATGAACAAAAAGTCAACTAGCATAGAAGTCAAAAGACAAAAAGTCAAATGGACATAAGGTCAAAAGACAAAAAGTAAAAACGGCAAAAAGTCAAATTGCCAAAAAGTAAAAAGGACAAAAGTCGAAAGACAAAAAGTGAACAGGACATAAATTCAAAATCCAAGAAACCAAAAGGACAGAAAGTCAAAAGGACAAAAAGTAAAAAAACAACAAGTCAACCGGGCATGAAGTCAAAATAAAAAGTCAAAAGGTCAAAAAGTCACATAAAGTCAAAGTCCAAAAAGTCAAAAGGACAAAAAGTGAAGAGGACAAAGGTCAAAAGACGAAAAGTCAACAGGACATAAAGTCAAATTACGAAAAATCCAAAGGAAATAAAGCCAAAATCCAAAAATTCAAAAGGACAAGTCAAAGAGACAAAGTCAATGACACCTGGATCACCAGTCATTACATACATGAGATAACATTAACCCGCGCGGGGCTGGGGGGGGGGTAAATTTTACCCCCCTCGCGAATTTTGGCAATATCTCAAAAACGGCGGCGCTTCAGTACCTTTTCTTGCATCAATTTGACACCTTCCCTGAAAATTTGAGCGAAATCCGTCGGAAAATTTTTGAGAAATTGACGTTTTAGTGACGTCATGTTCGCCATTTTCGCCTAAAAAACGGCAAAATTTCAAACGCCGCTAACATCTTCATTTTTAAAGGAATCAAGACGTAACAAAAAAGGTTATACGCCTTTCTACTTTGTCTATCAAATGGCTATCTCAGTTTTTTGAAAATTTTGGATTTTGGCCCAAATTTTTTCAATAAACTGACTTTTTTGGGAAAATAGTTATAAAATCCAAAATTTTGAGTGTATCGAAAAAACCGGAATATATGTCAGAGAAGTGGTTTATGTGCACCTACATACCAATTTTTAGAAGAATCGGTTCAAAAATGTGGGAGTTATTCAAAATTTTATGACGTCACGACACACAAAAAAAATTGAAAAATAATTTTTTTTGGAAGTTCTAGACCTCGTACGGAAACAAAAATAGCACCATTCGATTCGCCGTGAAAAGCTGCATCAGATAGACACCTTTTTAGGCCTTAACAACCAACTTCAAAATTTGACCTCACTTGACCTGACCTTGACCTGACCTCGACCTGAAATTCATCCAGAGGTGGTCCATATCACTTATTGAGTGTGCCTATTGAATTCTATGAGTAAAATGACCCATAAAACATGTGTCGCACATGCCCTTTTCTATATTTTGTTTTTGGTGACCTGACCTGACCTGACCTGACCTTGACCTTGACCTCTGAATGATATTGTATGCAACGAACATTGTCTTGGTAGCCTAAAAACACGTTTTGGGCAATCAGTCTCAGTCCATGACTCCATTCTTCGGCAACTACGGTGCAAGGCCGATACTGTAGAAACTTTCAATTTGTACCCTTGACCTGACCTTGACCTTGACCTCAAACTTAAAATTAAGTACATGTTTTTAGTTGTTCGTGATGAGATCTTTCGATTGGCGTTCGAATTTTCCAAATCGGACCATTAGTTCGGGAGATAACAGGGGGGGGGGTAAAATTTACCCCCCCCCCCAGCCCCGCGCGTTCGGCTGGAGACCCCAGCCCCGCGCGGGTTAACAAACAGCTCTACACAATTAAGCAGGATGCTGCACAAGCATGCATCATTGGACATTGAAGCGAGACTGCCTCCATTGCGCAACTGATGGGGATTCCCATGGCCCGCAACCGCGACTCAGCTGGTCACACGGGCATGCTTGGCTGAAATCTGACACACATCCGTTGACACGTGCTAGGTGAGGTGGGAGCTCGCTCGCATCGTAAGGTTGTCATGAGGCAGCGTTACATGATCCTTCGAGACAACTGGCTGTCCCAGGCGCAGTTTACTGCAATTATTTCAACAAATATAGTAACCCGGAATGTTATCGATACGAAAGGTTCGCTTGTTCAAATTTCCTATATTGTGTAGGGAGACGTTTCTCATCAATTGATTCCGTCACGTGTTCTATTAGCGATTTCACACTTTTATTATAGTTCAAGCGTATTGTATGGTACAATTGGTACAATAGTAAAGCGCGTCGTTTCTTTTAGATAGGTGGAAGTTGGAACGAGAGGCAATTGTGTGATTGTCGGATTGTCCTGCCTTGAAAGGAACGCTCACATCAGCATCAACAGACAACAACCTGTTAATATTCACGGACTGCATACAATTAAGGTGACCAATTTTCATCGAAATGTATAGGTCAATTAAGTTATCGAGATGCAATTGCTAAAAACACAATTTTTAGGACCTCGGAGCTGTGACGTCCAAAGAGAGGTGACAAGTATGTATAGCGCATTGTGGCCACCAGTTACTGTCCCTCTCCTTCATCTTCGCCTCCGCCCTACGTCTCCTTATCGGAACTGCCCCCCCCCCCCCCCCGCCATCAGCAGGCACAGTACGCCAACTTTATATAGATAAGTTCACATTCCCAATATACTTTTTAAAGCAAAGTAAAAATAGGTAGGAGCGTTCTTATCGGTAGTGTCGGGGCACGCACGGGGACGCGCCGAGACGCACTATGCGGTGCAGCCGGCGCCCAGCGGGCGGCGGCCGGGGATCAGGTGGCCCGGCGCGGGTCAGTCGCCGACCGGAGGAGACGCGGGCTGCGGCGTACTTGTACCGACTTAGTTAACGACTGCTGTTAAAGACTACTTTTTGCTGTTGACTACATTTTGCGCATCATTTTTTCGCGCACCTATTAACTTTTTGCTTGTTGACTTTTTGTGTTTTTTTTTTTAGCGTGTTGACTTTTAAGCAAGTTGACTTTTAGCGTGTTGACTTTTAGCATGTATGGTCACTTTTCGGATTATTCTCTGGGATAATAATATCTAACTCACAAGTCCATATATTTCGGATGATATTGCTCACCCTTGGTCACTGGACAAAATAAAAACAATTACATGTATGAAAAACCACACACCAAAATTATTCCCTAGACGGGTGACATTTTTCAAAAAATATATCACTTGCCAAAAAACTGACACGGTCTTTTAGCTTGCATGTTCCTCTACATAACAAGTAGTGCAACCAATCTTCTAAGTTCTACATATACCTATGGATACCTACTACCTATACTTAAAAATGTGTATACCTATACTTAAAAATAAAATGTCACCCGTCTAGGGAATAATTTTGGTGTGTGGTTTTTCATACATGTAATTGTTTTTATTTTGTCCAGTGACCAAGGGTGAGCAATATCATCCGAAATATATGGACTTGTGAGTTAGATATTATTATCCCAGAGAATAATCCGAAAAGTGACCATACATAACTAATTTCCTGGGAAAAATGACTTTAAAACGACTTTTAGCATGTTGACCTTTCGCGTGTTGACTTTTAGCGTGTTGACTTTTAGCCTTTAGGCGTGTTGACTTTTAGCGTCTTGACTTTTTGCGTGTTGACTTTTTGCGCGTTGACATTTTGCGTGTTGACTTTATGCGTGTTGACTTTTAGCGTGTTGACTTTTTGGCAGGTTGACTTTTTGTTCATTTGACATTTTGTCCTTTGACTTCTTGCGATGTTGACTTTCTGTCTGTTGACTTAATGTCCTTTGACTTTTTATCCGTTTACTTTTAACGTTTTGACTTTTCATCCGGGAATCGTCTAGCCACCCCACCCCCGCCCCCTCCCGTGACAGACGGTACGGTTCCGTGACGGCCACAGCCGTCCTGTTACTCACCTGGGAACCCTGCTGAGGCGACAGGATTACCTGGCCAGCAGCGGCACCGCTCTGCCCAGCAGTCGTCTTCAGCACCAGGCTGGTGAGCAGGCCGCTCGGCGGGCCGCTGGCGGGCGCCGCGCCGCCTAGACGGGGCACCGTGTTCAGAATAGCAAACGTGGCCGGCGGCTTGGCCTCCTGGGCTGCAGGACTGCTGGGCCGCGGTCCGGGCGACATGGACTTGAACGCGCCGCCGGTCGGCTGGAAGCGGCCCACCGGTCCGGGGCTGTACGGGTGCCGCTCGCCGCCGCCGGGCGCCGGGCGCGCCTTGATGGGCCGCGGACGGACGGCGGCCGGCGCCGCCGGGCCGGCGCGCCGCTCCCAGTCGCTCTCGTCCGAGTCGGCCACGTTCTCCTTGCAGAGCAGATCCAGGTCGGTGGACTCTTCACATATGACCATGCGCTCGTCATCCGACTCGGGCTGCGGCGAGTCGCGCCGCCGGCGCCGCTCGGTCGCCGCGCCGGCGGCGGCCGACGTGCCCGGCTCCGTCTTCAAAGAGCTACTCGACGACTTGCGCCGGTCCTTGCTGCACCATTTCCACTCTGGGTGGGCCTTGAAGTGTGCCTCCTTTACCTGAAAGGCGTGCTCGGAGTTAGCAGCATCCCGTGGATCCACGGCACGCAAACTGAGGGTAACACAACGACAAGCCAAACGGCACTTTTATAAACAGTATTAGAAATGTGCCATTCCTTTCTTTTGCCTTTTGGCACATCTCATCATACTTTTTTCGCGCATGCTATGAAAAATTTAGCTCAAGGCCACTCCAGGTCAGGTCATCAGGTCACGTCCAGCGACCTCACCTCCTAAAGCCTCAATGCCTGCCATGGCTAGCGATAGTGACGAAGTGCTATAGTGATACAGCGATCAGTTTTTGACCTCTCCCTTTAAGACCGTTCATATTTCTTATAGCATGTAAATTGCAAAAATGTAGTTCTCTGTGAACTCTTTCATATACATAGGTGCATTTTGGTTCAGCTAGTAATAATGCTTAAGGCTATTTGTTTAGCTAAAGCCTGTCTCAAATAGCCCCATAGGGTGGGGCTATTTGAGACAGGTTTAGTTGCAAAGAAAGTGAAGAAAATCGGTCACGCTAGAGATAATTTTTTAAACGCCATACAACTGGAAATTAAATTTTGATCACTGTCGCAAAAAATAGTTTTGCAAAGACTGTTACATGTCCTTTATATTCAACCTTATCCTTTTTCGTAGAACACTTCATTTCGGTAGGTTATAAAATTGCATCACTTTATGCTAAGGTTATCATAATATGATGTGAACCTAAACTTTCAAAATGACAGGATCATCATCAAGGACTATTTTAAAGTCAACGACAGTAAAATTTTGAAAGAAAGTTTTTGTATGACGTGAAAACAGATATACCGAAAATCGGTGGGGCTATTTGAGACAGGCTTGCTAGCTTACGAAGCACACCGTAATGAATGAAATAAGGCAAAAGATTTCCCAAAACATTTAAGTGAATGGTCCGTGTTGTGTCTGCAACACAAAAGTGCCGGATCTTTCCAATCAAGAAAAAACGGAAATGCAAGCAAACATTTCATTCATTCGTCGAGCCAAAACAATTACAATACCATAATGAACCAAGTTTTGAGCCAAATTTCAAATTCCTTTCCAAAAGTTCTACATTTCTATGCTTTTTCATGAATGTAACACATTTCATTTTTCATGCGCTGTTACTCTCGCGCTATCGCTTTGACATACACCTTGTTCAGACAGAACAGTCCGCATGATTGGTTGTTCCATTGTACAGTAGGTCTATTAAAAAAGTCCCCAGCACCAGTGGGCGCTGCATTCGCTGAGCCGAACCCCCGTCTGCCTGTCCCATATCGCGCCGGGCTCAGGTCAGGTAGGGTCAGCGGGACCGCTCGGTCCGGCCCGCGGGCGGTGGACGGGCGGCCGGTAACGCTTTCCGCCAGCCAGCTGTAGAATCCAACAAACGGGACGGCCACCGCTCAGCGCAGCGAAACCGGTGTTAAAGAATGGCAGTAGATGTTCATGGCCACAATGATTATGAGATAGTCATTGTTAGCCCGTGCCCCACAGGAATGCCTAGACTCTCACGCCCTGTTGGAGGGGAAATGGGGATTGAGCATCATTCTTTTAACTCAGCTTTGGGCATTTAACTGGTATTCGAAGTAGCGTCAAAAGAAGCAAAAAGAAAAAATACTTCAGCCAATTTTGGATCGGGTCACAGCCAGAGGTCATGTCACTAGAGGTCATCGATGGTAAAATTTTGCTTAGACAGGGTGCGTTGCGCGCACCGGTGCATTGGGTTTCCAATTTCCATGGAAACATCAACAGACTCGGAAGCTCGCAACGCTAGCGTGGAGCCGAATTCATATCAACCGCCGCAACAATGCAGCAGCGCAGCGCAACGTGCTGCAGCGCGGGGCCGTGAAACACCGCCCAGGGCTATCCATGTGTCAGGGCAATCCAACCCACGTGATGGGCTCGGCCCCAGCGGAGCATGAGGTCCAGGACTCCCGCCCAGGCCCCCTGTCTCCCCCTAATTCCTGTCATCCTTCCCACTCTGAAATTGACCGAAAGAGCCTAACCTAACACAACAAGCAGCTCGTTTACCGCTATGTCTGAATAATATTGTCAGATTTAATTAAGGTTAACGGCTTGCATGTAATTAACAACAACTGTAAAAAAATGTAAAGTAAAGTAAATAAAAAGTAAAGTAAATAACAACTGCCACCATCGGTATTATGAGAAAACCAATTGCTTTTCCACAAATACTTAAAAGTTTTTAGCTTAAAACTTGCATGAAATTAATTTTACCAGCCTCGTGTTCCTCTTATCAAAACGCTTCGAATGAATCAAAAGTTGATCTTTAAAGGTCATTTGAAAAATTTGGCCTATGTTCAAAGACATGACCTGACCAGAAATGGTCATAATGCATAGCAAGATATTAGATCCGTATCGTGGAACTTTATTAACTCTTCAGATGATTTCATAACTTCAGCATGTCTATCAAAAATAATTATTACATGGCTCATATGTAAGCTGGGTGTGTGAACATGCTTACGAGTATGTTGAACGCAACTGGTAATGTTCTGTTGGCCACAATTTCTATATTTAATTTATCCCCCGGATTTCATATTTTTGTTAATGACACCGTGACGATGTCGAGAAAAAACGCTTAGGAGATTTAACAGCTTGAGATACATTCAGTATAAAGAAGGTTCAAGGATGCTACATAGATTCCTTCCTTCTTCGCTATCCTCAAGAAAAACCAATCCGCATCGCCCCTAGTCTTCATGCTTCCCTCTCTGGACTGGAGGTCACCCCACCAGTCAACCAGTAGTTGATGTCGGATTCATTCCAGGACACATAATCCTCTTCGGGTGACTGTTTGGGAGACGGCTGGACCGTCCCGACAGGGCAATCGTCCCACGGGAACAGTCTCGCTTCCTCAGATCACTGTCGCTGGCTCGCACAACCCAATTACTATGTAGGGGGGCCTCTCTCCTCATTCGTCCTGGGCTCTGTTTGGTTCGCCCCGGTAGCAGGTCGGCTCTGTGCGGACTTTGACCTCTGCCGTCCGCCCTCGGTGAGGAGTGCATTTAGCGAGGCCATTTGAGGCAAGTCAGTCTTTGGCGAACACACAGGCACTGCATCATTGGGTTTCACCGCCACAAAAAAAACACAGGGGGGCAGTTAAGCGTTTGTTCTGGATCCCTCGGGCATGGTCCATCCCTGAGAATAATAAAAGGGTGCTAGGTGGTCGAACTGATTAACCTAAGCGCAATTGCTCCCGCAGACACTCATCCAGTCTCACACACTTTCACTCATCTGACTCAAACTTGTCCGTATTACCAAACTGCGACGTCTCGCTTCCCTCCCCCTTTTCCTATCCCTGCAGTCGATCCTACGTCCTAAATTACCTCGGCTCTGGAGTACCCTTGGAACCTTTGAACTTCCACTCTGCCTATCGGAGTTAATCGAAACACATCAATTAATTCTACACGTTTCGCCTAATGGGCCCTTTCTACTCATCGATGGTCTACATTTGGGATCACAAAGCACGTCTTACTACGTATTATCTCGCGTCTTACTGCATCTACCGACGACTTACGGCGTATAACTCGCGTCTTACAGCGTCCTTGCCCTATAACGACTAAGTGACGACTTACAGCGTATAATTCGCGTCTTACGGTATCGTCCCCCGATAACCGGCGTATAATCGTGACTTACGGTATCTCTATCCGATCACCTGCGGTTATTCGCGTCTTACCGCGTCCTTGCCCTATGATGACGACGTGACGACTTACAGCGTATATTTCGCGCCTTATTACGGCTGGCACCGCTTTATTGCGTATTCGCGACTTACGGCGCGTACCGTCCTGGAACCGGGACTAGCGTCTTACGGCGTAACTTTCCGAGGCACCTCGTATTAAACTGCCGTCGCAGCCTACCTAAATAAACAAATGCACAATGTCCCCCAAATTACCCGACTCACCGCGATGTGGATCCGTTCATCGACTAACTGCGGTCACTGGGTTACCATTGTATCGCATATAACGTTCTCTGCCGCTCTGCCGATGGCATCCACCCTGCCAGTGATGGATACGTCCGAGCTTGACGCAGGCCCTTCCTATATTTAAATTTTACCCGAACTCTACTGGAGTTATTCCCGAACCTATCGAGGTGTAAGTACCAGTGAGGGACCTATGTTCGCGACTTACGGTGTCTCCCCGATCACCTGCGTATCGCGTCTTACGGTGTCTCCCCGACCACCAGCGTATCGCGTCTTACGGCGTCTCCCCGACCGCCAGCGTATATCGCGCCTTACGGTGTCTCCCCGACCACCAGCGTATCGCGTCTTACGGTGTCTCCCCAACAACCAGCGTATATCGCGTCTTACGGTGTCTCCCCGACTACCAGCGTATATCGCGTCTTACAGTGCCGCCCTCCGGTCACAAGCGTATGTTCGCGCTTTACTGCGTGCTCCTAGGTGTCTTAGTGTCCCGTTCCCGTTTGCTCCCATGTAACTAGACTTGGACGTTTTTCAGGTCCCTTCTCCCCAATGATGCGTCCTTACCGGCAGAACTTAACGCGCAGGGGCGTGGTCGCATGCTCCTTCCTCTCTTCCGCCCGGGCTAAACACGTCCTATTATGTCATACGTTCCATTCCTGTCAGGGGTCTCGTTTCTAATCCTAGGTTCCTGGTTATATGTGCGAGAATATCATGCCTACGCGGTGGGCGAATCGTGAATCCTCCAGCCTCCGAAACTTGTCTCCCGTTCCCGCCTGAGTGACTGTACGTACGTGTAGCTGCGTGTTCATCGTAAGGGTAAGAGAAAGAGAGAGAGAGAGAGAGAGAGAGAGAGAGAGAGAGAGAGAGAGAGAGAGAGAGAGAGAGAGAGAGAGAGAGAGACAGATAGAGAAAAGAGAGAGAAAAGGGAGAAAGAGAGAGGAAGCGAGAGATAACGAAGGAGGAAGAGAGAGAGAGATAACGAAGGGGAGAGAGAGAGAGAGAGAGAGGGAGAGAGAGAGAGAGAGAGAGAGAAAGAGAGAGAGAGAGAGAGAGAGAGAGAGAGAGGGAGAGA